AAGAAGTTGCTATCATATTAGTGATAAAGCGCATCCTTCAGCGCCTGAGTGGCATTTTAGATCTGGTGAGTTTTTTATTTTCTTGTGCCTATCAGTAAATCATGCATGGTTCATTTTCATTATTGATTTTCTTCCTCTTGTGTACCATTTGTTTATTTACTTGAGCAAGATGTTTGCGAGTCTTAACGTGCAATTTCAGCATTGGAGGATGTACCAAAGGCCTCTCTCAGTTCATTACATGTTCAGTAGCATAATCTAATGCCGTACCCTTTTCTTTATAAAACAGTATTTGATTATTTTTATGGCTTTGATTTTAATTATCATACCAAAGAAAGATATCTGTGATTATGATGCCCTACTGTCCCATGTTTAACAAAGTGACTTGACTATGTAGTTATTTTTTTAATACCTAATGCATACTTTTTGGTGTCATCTAGGAAGGTCGTCCATATCTTCAAGTAGTCTTTACCGAAGTGAGTGCCTCTTTGTCAACTGAATCTAGCAGAGTTGGACAAAAGCAACGTCCACTTGGACTCCTGCATCAGATGATTGATGATGCCTTCAGAGGAAAGCGTCAGTTCTTGAATGGTAATGCCTACTTTATTCAGTTGAACTGTAATTGTTGTTGCGATTATGTTCTAGAGGCATTTCTGAACTTTTCTATTTCAGGTAAACTTCACAATGTTGCAAGAGCTATTGTTGATGAAGATTCGGATAAAACTTACTCGAAAGACGGTACCAAGTCAGAAAAAAAAGATGCTTTGATATCTGAAAAAGGTACAGTCCTTGGTCATGGACTTAGAATCCTGAAGCAAGCATCTAAGACTGACCCAACAGCTTCAAGTGTTCCTGAAAGCAGTTCAGACCACAAAGGTTCTACAAACAGATACTTGGGTCATGTATCTACCAAGCCGTCGACATACTTATCAAACTTCATAATATATATTGCAACCATTGGTGACATAGTTGATGGAACTGACACGACTCATGATTTCAACTACTTCTCATTGGTGTACGAACGACCAAAAGATGTAAGCTCCTTCACACGCTGGGTAAAAAATGTACCGTTTGTCCTTCTCTTTTACTTCTTCCAAAAATTACATGAAAGACCATAGCAGATTGTCCTCTTTAGAATGACATTTACTACTAATAACTGGAGACGGAATGCTGGTTGTATTTGTAATCACCTAAAACAAATAACTAACACCTCCTTCCCAAATTAGTTGTCTTAGATTGTCTAGATACGGGTGTATCTAACACTAAAATGTGTCTTGATACATTCGTATCTAGACAAATCTAAGACAACTAATTCGGGACGGAGGGAGTACTTATTAAGAAACTAGGTGATACCTCGCACGTTGTTGCGGGAACGTTTTGCAATATATTCAGTTAGAATTCGTTGTATGAAACACAAATATTTAGAATAATAATATGAGTACTAAAGCTGGGAAAAATATATGATTTGTGGTGTTTGATTGTTGTATAATGTAAATAACATAATAGAATGTAAATTCTCATGCATGTTTGCATGTTGAGGTGGCTTTTTATTATGCATGATTGCATGTTGTGGTGGACCATTCTCCATGCATGTTGAATGATGAGGTGGCATACTTGCATGTTCAGAGAAATAGGCTAGTGGAGGCTAGCTATTTAGATATAGAAGATTCCTCCACCTACATGTTTATTAATTCAGTTACCCTATAATTCACTTACACTAGTCGAATGCCCCGCGCATTGCTGCGGGAGTTTGTATAAAATAAAAACTGCGCTGAACTAATTAACCTAGGTATTGTCTTTACGGTTTCTCCTGTAGCAAGATAATTTTTTAATCAATATTTTACTAATAAATGTATATCTCTATATATAAGTTCAAAATTCGACGAAAACAAAAGAAAATGTGCATGTATGCGTCACTTTCCTTTCATATATTACTAGAGTATCAGGTGCATGCATGTGTCAATTTTTTGATTAAACACTATTTAGGTTGCAGTTAGTACATGCGATTGGTCCAACAGCTCTTAATGATCGGATGCCTATTGTGGACTCATCTAGTACATCCAATGGCTAAATTAATTTGAGTGATGTGGCTTAAGAAGAAGCAAGAGAATTCCTAGTAGTGGGGGCTAGCTATTTAGATATATTCCCATATTATTGAAAAGGGGAGGATTGGCAGGAAGAACTACCTATATTTAACTTCAAGAGTGGGGATTTGCACCCAAGGTCTCAACCAGGGACAGAGCTAGGAATTTTATTTGAGGGGGGGCAGTGAAACATCTAAAGCATTGAGGGGGGCCATACATAAGAATTTAGTGGTCAAATTCATAAGTCCACGTACTACTTAGGGGCAGTTTAAGATTTTTTTTACAGCATGGGGGAGCCATAAGTGGATGAATAAGTTCCCATGGCTTCTAGTATTTTGATATATCTTTGGCCGCTGTGAACGTGGAACCTCATGGCTGAACAAATAATAAATAAATATTAGTTATCACCTGTAGGTATTCGTGGGATTTTGTCTATGAGCTTAGAGCATCTCTAATCGATCCCCTATAATTTAGAGAAATAAACGGCCGAGTATCCTTTAGAGGAGTACATTTGCTCTTCTAAAAAAGTGTCGTTTCTAACCGCCCCCCTAAACTTAGATTAGTAAAACTTACATTTGGCTCATACATTTCGTCAAACAGTTGTTATGCGCCTTCGCGGCGAGCGGCGACGATGGTGACCACGCTGGAGTCATGAGTCCTAGTCCGCTGCCGAACGCATCACACACATCGCACGTTGCCCGCCTCATCGTGTTGTTGCTCACTGCCGCACGCGCTGCTTGTGCTCCCCGGGTGGACGCCGAGCCGCCCGAGTGGTGGAGCAGCCTGGGGTACCCGGAGGGGCCATCCGCTCCATCCTCATGCCCCGCTTCCTCCGGTGGCCGGACTGTGAATCCGTCGCAGCCGCCGCCGTCAAGGCCAGCTCCGGTGTGTCCGGTAGGTGGCCGTGACCGTGGATGCCGCTGCCAAGGCCAGGGACAAGATCGCACACAACCTCCTCCACTGTGGCTTCGCCGGCTCCGACTACGGGAGGAGCACCGCCGGGCTAGGGACAACGAGGAGGCGCGTCTCCGTGGTCGGAGACGATGGAAAGGACAAAAAATAAAGAAAAAAAGATCAGCGGAAGGTCGACAGTGCTGCGGGGTGTCGGCGGTGGCCGACGGAGGCAAGGAGGGCGGCGCTGGAGTGGATGCGGCCGAGCAGGGCAGAGCGGTGGGCGAGAATGGAGGCAAAAATATTTTACTCCACGGGTGGGCGGACGAGTATCTTTACTCCTCGGGGAGGCCACGGCGGATAAATTACCCTCCTCTAACCGTTATAAGGGATCGGTTAGGTGCCAGTTAGAGGAGGAAAACAGAATCTATCCTCTAACCTATATAGGGGAATGTTTAGAGATTCTCTTATGTAGTAAAATATTTGCAACCCACGTTAGTCTAGCTTGGCAATGGTCAGCTCTATTCAATGTGAATTTCTTCAACAACATTAATACTGCGTAGAGACCCTCACCAATCAGTGCAAGGCAACATTCATAATGTGGAGTATGGTTGGAGCGAAGGAGCTTCAGGCCTTCACATGGCAGTGGTTGTTGCGTTGTATCACCTTTAGATCTTTGATTTTTTCATGTTTATTCAGTCACGCGCTAAGCACCGATACGGATACAAGTATCGGTATCGGGCCGATACGGATACGTAAATTCGCCATTTTGAAAAAAATGCCAATACGGGGATATGTTTTACTATTTTTTAATTCAAAAATAAAGTATATAAGTGCATTCAGAATGTCAATTGTGACCTTTGTACATGCATGGATTCCATGGCTCTCTGCCTTCAGCAAATGAGCAGAAACAATAGAGTAGCTACTCAAAGCAACATGACCACACTAGTTACATTTCCATTTAGTGTTCCCCTCCAGGTGATTTCTCTATAATCGTGACATGGCTCCACAATGGTGCCCTTAGATTCGCAGGTACAGCACGAGGTTCAGCAGGAGGAGCCATCTGGAGGAGATGAATATGAGATCTTCGGAGGAGAAAGAATAGGAGATGAGCTTGGCTGGGCAGGGAGGGGGCATTGGTGAGGAGGAGGAGCTCGTCGCCAGGTAGCCGCCGCCGCCGCTGGTGCTGGGTGAGGCGCCGCCTGGTGTGAGCTTGGGAGGGAGGAAAGAAACTGGGAGGGAATGGATGGGGGTCATCGGGGGAATCACGAAAGAACCAATGCTGTAACTTGCTTCATCCGGCATTATAAGATCAAATGTCTTCTTTGAGGTGGCACAAAGACGAAAGTAATTAGTTCAACAAGGCCGATGATAGAAGGGCTGGGCCTAATTAATTGTTCTGGTATAGAGATGAATGAGAGGATGGAGATAGCGCATTGAATGGTTTGATACCCTCTTTACTGGGCTGAGTGGGCTCTTAAATGGGCTGGGCCGTGCCCAAAACGTATTGGCAAAGTATCGGGATTGTTTTAAATCATTTATTCATGGATACTCCATGGATACGTATCAGGGGGGGGGGGGGTATCGGAGGCGAGCTCGCTACAGACCACGTTTCGTTGGCTTTGTAAAACCTTTTCTATCTTAATATACATACATGCAGTCCTCCTGGATGATCTCCATTCTTGATGATTTCGAGTCCAACCTGAAATTCTATGCATCAAACCACAATACATATCAATTATCATGCCGTATACTCTTCTAATTCAACATCCTTAAAAATATTGCCTAAAAAGAATGAGAAAAGACTAACTGACACATTATATTGGTGAAGACATAAAGTGCAACGTCATTTGTATGAAGTAAACGCCTTTTAAGAAACACAGGGTAATTACTGTTCAGTGTCCTTATTCATTTTTTAATGTGAAACTACGATGGAATATTGTTTACATTCAATTTCTTTTGTCTTGCTGTTATTGTAGTCCAAAGTGGTTCGAGAATTATTTTGGACTAATATAATGTTCGTTTGCCATGCAGCTTTTAACTCGTTTAGTTTTTGAGCATGGAAGCACTGACGCAGCTGCGAAGGTAGCTGACACAATGGGTGTGGATTTTGTGCATGAAATAATATCAGCTTGTGTGCCACCAGTTCTTCCTCCACGAACAGGACAAGGATGGGCTTGCATTCCTATTTTAACCACAGTTTCCAATATTATTTCTGAAAACAGTTCAACAGTTCCAAAGTCCCTCCCCCCTGATCAAGGATGGAGTCCACATGATTCATTGTTGTCTTCTCGCCGGGATCCGCTGTATCCTCTTCAGTTAAATTTAGTGAAGCATTTAGCCCAATTATCATCAGTAAGAGCAGTTCTGGCATGTGTGTTTGGAAGTAGCATACTATCTGGTGACAGTGAATCATCTCCTACTTATGTGAAGGATGCAATGCAAACCACTGAAGTTGAGAGGTCATTCTATGAATTCGCTCTTGAACAATCAGAGAGGTAATGAATAGTCATTTTATGCCATCATGTCCCAATCAACTTCACTTTGTAAGTATCTAAGTTACTTGCAGATATCCAACTTTGAACCGGTGGATACAGATGCAGTCTAACCTTCACCGGGTATCTGAGTCTGCCGTGGCAGTTAAAACTGAAAATGAAGTCGCCGTGCATCAATCAAAAGGAAAAATTTCTATTAAGCGAGCTCGTGAACCTGACAGTGATGCTGAATCAGAGCTTGAAGATGTCGTCATAAATGGAAATGCCGCTTCAAGTACACTAGAATCCCCTAAATATGATGATGCTAAACTAGAGCCAACAGCATTTATTTCTTTTGACTGGGAGAACGAAGGACCATATGAGAAAGCCGTTGAGAGGTAGCAGGATTTTACAAGTTTTTCTTGGCCACGCCTTTTGCTCTACACACAATGAGAGTTTCTCACTTGCACTTGGCCATTGCTTGTTGTGATAATTTCTATGTGACAATTAAACTTGCTTTGTCTCTGTAGGCTAATTAATGAAGGAAAACTAACTGATGCTCTTGCTGTATCCGACCGTTGTTTGCGCAATGGAGCGTCTGATAAATTACTTCGATTGCTCATTGATCAAAGGGAAGAAAGAAGTCTAGGCACAGGACAATTCCGCCCATATGGTTCCCGTAACTTGGGGAGCAATACTTGGCAGTATTGTTTGAGACTGAGGGATAAAAAACTTGCAGCTCAGCTTGCTCTTCAGTACGTCATGTCATTTTCGTTCCAGCCTTATTAGTACAATAAACCTTTTGATTTTGTGTAGTGAAGGCATTCTTTCAGTTTTAGTATATTTGATAGATGTCCATTTTGAATTCCACACCGTTGCTATATTTTTGTTCTCCAGATAGGCATATTGAGTTACTGAGTGCATACTTTCATTTCTAGGTACCTGCACAGTTGGAACCTTGACGCTGCAACCAATGTTCTAACTATGTGCATCTGCCACTTACCTGAGAATGATCCTATGCGGAGTAAGGTAGCTTGATTTGCATTTATTTACATTTCAAGTTCACACATTATCTTGAAAGGTCATATGGACATATGTTGTTGTGTGCCTGGTCAAGTCATGGCTTTACTTAGTCTAAAAAAACTGTGATCTCATTTATGCATATCACCTAACAGATATTCCTGTCCAAGCCAACACTAAGTAGCTCTTGTTGGTTTGTCTTGCTATCTAACTTTAAAACGTAACAATATGTGCTTGACTGTGATCGTGTCATTCTATGACACAACCTGTTTAGTTTGACGCAACAGGTTCAGTTTCTCAAAACTTAGCTTTTACGACCTGGTCTAGCATTTCTTGTTTGTTATTGTACAATCCCACCACTCATTCCTGGCCATCTTCAACTCAAATTTAGGGCGCCTATTATTCTTAATTATATTGATACCTAGGTCCTTCTATGTATCCATCATTTTTTTATAATTTTCCGTGTCATTTTGTAACAGGTGCTACACATGAAGCAATCTCTGCAGCGGTATGGTCATATTATGAGTGCTGATGACCATTACACCAGATGGCAAGAGGTAAGCCAATCAATGAATGTCATATGATTTTGATCTTCCGTCCCACTATTTTAAATTTTGTGACAACATAGGCTTCAGAATTGTTCCTTAAAAGTATGTGTCGTTTTTTGTATCAAAGTTTTCCATGTTTAAACTTGACTGACATTCAAATTACTAGGTCGAAGTTGATTGTGAAGATGATCCAGAGGGGTTAGCACTTAGGCTTGCCGCCAAAGGAGCTGTATCTGCTGCTTTACAGGTCGCCGAAAGTGCCTCTCTGTCAATTGATTTGCGGAGGGAACTGCAAGGCCGCCAGCTTGTCAAACTTCTTACCACTGATCCACTTAATGGTGGAGGCCCAGCTGCGGCATCACGATTTCTATCGACCTTAGGAGATTCCAATGATGCTCTTCCTGTTGCCATTGGTGCCATGAAGTTATTACCTGACTTGCGCTCAAAGCAGCTTCTCGTATGTTGCCAAATCTGACAAGAGTTAATTGTACTAAACTTTTCTGACAAGGATTAAAATAATACTGATTAATTGTTTCAGGTGCATTTTTTTCTCAAACGTACAGTTGGGAATTTGTCAGATGCTGAGATTGCTCGACTTAATTCATGGGCGCTGGGTCTTCGTGTTCTTTCCTTATTGCCATTGCCATCACAACAGCGTTGCTCTTCTCTGCATGAACATCCTCAGTTGATTCTGGAAGTACTATTGATGATGAAGCAACTCGAGTCTGCATCTCTGGTATTCCGTTTCAACTAATTTTTTGCATGTCAACTCTCATCCTTGGAACTTTTTGGGACAACAGAAATGATTCTCTCCTTGGAGCTGCTGGCCTGCTGCTATACTAGGAACATGTCAACCTACTGTGCTAATGGAAGATTTCTTCTTTATGACTTCAGGTTTTGAAAGAATTTCCATCCCTGAGGGATGACAAGTTAATCATTGCTTACGCTAAGAAAGCAATCTCTGTCAATATTGATTCTACTCTTAGGGAACCTCGACAAACCATCTCTGCGGCAAGAGAAAAACAAAAAAAGGCTGCCATACCAGCTAAAACAAATTTTGTGCAGAGTTTTGGCAACTTTCAGAGAGAGGCACGTAAAGCATTCTCATGGGTGCCCCGCGACAGTGGCACCAAAACCCCCCCGAAAGATATCCCTCGGAAAAGAAAGAGTTCAGGCTCAGGTGATAGATCCTCTTGGGAAGCGATGCCTGGTGTACAGGAGGAGCAGACACCTGTTTACCCTTCCGAAGGACAAGATAGACTTCCTTTTGTTTCTGCTCCTGAGGAGTGGGTGCTTACCGGAGAGCCTGATAGGGATAACACAACTCGTTCATGTCATAGATATGAATCCTCTCCAGATATCGCACTATTCAAGGTGTGTTTGCTTATCAGGCTTATCTTTCTTCGAATGCTACTGATTTATAAGTTCTTATCCTGCATTATTCTGGCTTATCCGCAGTCCCCCCTTTTCCGTATTATGCATCAAGGGCAGCTAGTTGGTAGCTTTGAATTATTTACCTAACATTATTTCCTGATGTGCCATTTTTTTAGCGGTTAAGTTGGAAATACTGCTAAATTGAACTTGATTTTAGATTAATTCTCTTTCCTACTTATAAAGTTTACAGTTGGTGGCCGTCCGTTCACTTCTATGTCCCACCTCTTCCTCTCAGCTCTGTCAAGTGGACCATGCATAGAGACCTAGCAGGCAGGTAGGCGGATTAAAAAATACTGTATTAAAAAACACCCCCTTCACTCATCCTCTCTGTCCTGCTGCTGCATGTCTGCACCGCATGGCCTTCCCCAATCTCCTTTCTTCTGCCACATACTTTCCCGATCCATATCCATCTGCACTGTCACTATTAGTACTTTCTAATCTTGTTCAGCCGATTATTCCCCTCATTTATGTATCGTTCTTGTCATCGGCTTCCCGTCACGCTCAGTCTCCACTGCCAACGCTTGCTCGCTGTCATCGGAACAATGCCGAGGTGTAGTACGCCCGACCAATGCGCCCACTCGCCACGAGCATAGCGTGGAGGCAGTACCCCTTGCTAATCTACTTGCCCACACTCGTTGGACGCACTCGCGCAAGAACTGCTCCCTTCCTCATGAGGGTCGGGCGCCCCTCTATGTTTGCTGCAATCTAGGTGCAGCACCGCATCTTCAGTTTTCTCTTCCCTGCTTCCTTTACATCTTCACAAAGTATACCTTGTCTAATCACACCCATTCGCCTAATTGGTTCCTGAACCCATTAGATTATAGCTTAATCAATTGCAGTTTGTTGCTGCAGTGGAATATGTATGCACGTGACTCTTCCTTGCACGATGTTTGAATTTCTTGGACGTTCTCTACCTAATGCATGCAGCACAGACACATATAGGTCTTTCCTGGTTGCTTGAGAGCTCAAAAAACTAGTTTTGTTGCGTTCGGTGTGTTCTAGACAGTATGGTTTTATCTACAGAACTGAGAAATTAGGGCTTCCTGCCAACGGTTAGTACACATGTGATCAGAAATTGGGTTGGGAAATTCAGATTTCAAAGCGGACATGAAAAATCTTTTTTTTTATGCTGCACCACTCGAGGTTTTACAGAAATAACTGTATATGTTCCAAGGAACAATTTTCAAAACAGTCATCATAGAACTTACGGTACAAGGTTTACAATTGGAAGATACTTTCGATGTGAATAATTTTTTACCAGACTATCATCACATGTTGACCAAGTGGGTTGCCCAAATTTTCGCCGCTAAAAAAATATATAACTTGTATATTATAGGACTCTTCTCCTTCAACATGAGAAATTCATCCATTTTTATATAGTAATAGTAGGACTCTTCTAGAACATGAGAAACGCATCCTTTTTTAATAGACAACATGTGTTTCGAAAAAGAAACCTGCCTTATATTTATTCTCCAGTATTTATGTGAGTCCATTTGCTGCCACATTGCTTTGAAAAAAACCCTTGTATGTTCCATTTGTCGACCTGTTCATAACAAAACTCATTTAAGCCCATGAGCTCAAGCAGACCTTTTTTAGTCCAATATCTCCAGACTCTAGAGTACCAAGGTTTGTCATGTCTGTAGACGGTACATATCACCTTTCATGTAATACAATTACACCAATAAGCCTTCGGGCCATGGTCAATATATAATCAGAGTTATTAAAGTGAATTAATTTGATATATAGCTAGATTAAATTATATTGTGTCTCATTTCTCGTGGTTCCGTAGCGCAGCACGGGCATCTTACTAGTATTATTGAAAAAAAGAATGAAGTGTCAATATGAAGCAACTTCTGAAGTGTACGTAAGTGATAGTGTCAATTTTTTGTCATCTATTTGTGTAATTCTTTGTGAACCAAATTCTAGGCATTGCTTTCACTGTGCACCGATGAGTCAGTAGCCGGAAAAGGTGCACTTGAACTATGTGTTACTCAGATGAAGGTTGTACTAAGCTCCCTACAGTTGCCTCTCAATGCATCTATGGACAATGTTGCCCGGGCTTATCATGCAACGGAAACTTATGTGCAGGTATGAAAAAGAACTAGCAGCATGGTAATTTTGAGTATCATAACTTGGTAGATTAACATCAATGACATTTCATCAGGCAATCTCTTATGCAAAAAATCTACTAAAAAAGCTCACCGGGAGTAGTGATTTGTCAAGTGGCTCTGAAAGAAGTAGAGATGCTGATGCTGTTTCTGTGGACGCTGGCAGTTCAAGCACTGGGGTCCAACATCAAGATGAGCTGTCTGATCTCCTTGCTCAAGCAGATATGTGGCTAGGGCGTGCTGAGCTTCTTCAAAGCCTGCTGGGATCAGGTATTATTGCATCACTTGATGATATTGCTGGCAAAGAGTCTTCAACTAGTCTACGTGACAGGCTGGTCAGTGATGAGCGATACAGCATGGGTGTATATACTTCTAAGAAGTGCAAGGTGAATGTTACAACTTGTTTCTGTCTATACTTCATATTTTTCCATGACAGTGATAAGGTAATTTAATGACGTGATCAATTTCAGATTGATGCTTTTCCAGTGTGGGTTGCTTGGGGCCATGCTCTAGTTCGAATGGAACACTACGCTCAAGCCCGTGTGAAATTTAAGTAAGAGAAAACTCTTCCTTGTTGTTTCTCACTTTCTCTTATAAGCGCCTGCCTGCAGAAGAAATTGAAGATTTAGTTACAAATACAAAAGAAATCAAGGAAACAAACAGATAAAAAAAACACTGCCTTCAGGAAAAAGAAGACATCAGAGGATGATGAACTGGTTGCTAAATGTGTAGTGATCTCGCACTGGTTGCTAAATGTGTATAGGGTTGCAGATGTAGTGGTATGCTCTCTTAGTATAGCTGTCTAAGGATATGGGAAACCTAATGGTTAAAGTAAAATTTCTTGCATAAAATTGCACGTTTATTTTCTGCAATCGTCCTTTTATCATTATTCGTTAGAAATATGGTGAAATAGGTTGATTGTCGTCAATTTGTCACAGCGATAAGCAGTCTAAAATTGTTGCCTACAGATGGAGCATGGGAAAATTTTGTAGGAATTGGTATTGCTTACATCCAGACTGTCAGATATGAGGTTGCAATAGCTGACCTTGGGCACTCTGAGTCTCCGCTTTATCTTAGCTTGGTCAATGACTCCATCCTTGAACTTGTTAACCATGGTGATACTTTCTGTTGTACAAATCTTCATTTTTATTGCATTTCTTTTCCAGGCAAGCTCTTCAACAGTTCAAAGGTGATGCGCCTCCTGTTGTCCTTGATATCATTAACACAATTGAAGGAGGTCCTCCTGTTGATGTTTCTTCTGTCCGCTCTATGTAAGGGATTAACATCAATTGTGTTTCATCTTTTGAAACTTCTAACAAAATGTTCTTTGCACGGAGCAAAGTAAAATTGCCCAAGTTATTCTGGTCAATGAATCATCATATTTATGATGTATATTTCGTATTTATTAACTCAGCAGTTAACCTTTTTTTGGTAGACTTGTTTCTTTCTCTAGTTCTGGTATTAGTGCTTGAGGTTAAGAACTGGTTGGTAGTAGTGCCCCTGAACTGAAAACTTATTTACCAGTTCCCTGGCATTATTAATTTCAATCAAGAGATATGTGGTTTTCCTCTTCTTAAGTAACTGCTATCAAACTGGCATTGCAGGTATGAACATGTAGCAAAAAGTGCAGCAACCATCTTCGATGATTCCCTTTCTGCTGATTCTTATCTTAATGTTCTATATATGCCATCCACATTCCCACGATCTGAGAGGTCCAGGCAATCCAGAGATTCTCTAGATAACCAATTTTCGTCTGCTAGCTCATACCTTGAAGATGGTCCTCGCAGCAATCTTGATAGCGTCCGATATGCAGAGTGTATTCATTACTTGCAGGAAGTAAGATTTGTCCTCCTTCAAAGGTGTTCCTATTTTTCTTTATTAGCTCAAACTTTGGCATACAAGGTTTACCCTAGAGTTTTCTTTACACTTTCTAGACTCTGCGTACTTGTAATCACTGTGATGACCATTTCTTACAGTGGCAATTAAAGCCACAAACCCTGTTCAGGTTTTGGTTTGCCCAAGTCCTTCTGAATTTATTTCAGCCACTAGATTGTATGGTTTGCCAAGTCCTTTTGAATTTGTGATTAATGGTTTCTTTCGGATACTTGCAGTATGCTCGCCCACAAATGCTGGCTTTCATGTTCAGGCATGGCCATTATGCAGAAGCATGCTCTCTATTCTTTCCATCCAGTGAACCAACCGCAGAAGGGGAAACATCTTTGTCTTCAGTTCCTCGGAGTGATCCTTTAACAACTGATTATGGGACAATTGATGACCTGTGTGATCTATGTCTTGGATATGGTGCTATGTCTGTATTGGAGGATACAATATTAGCAATAACTCAATCCACGACATATCATGACACAACTGTGATTCAGTACATGAACACTGTTCTCACCCGCATTTGTAACTACTGTGAAATGCATCGGCACTATAATTATCTTTACAATTTTCTGGTACTATCATCAATTTTTCCTTTGCGTCACTTCCTTTGGAGTCCACTGCTTTCGCGCTAATTAATTTTTACATTGAAACATGGTGTATCAGGTTCTAAAAGGTGACCATGTGGCTTCTGGCCTTTGCTGTATTCAGTTATTCATGAATTCAATGTCCCAAGAGGAATCTCTGAAGCATTTGGGACATGCCAAGGTATTATGATTTTCATTATCAATGTGTTACAAACTTATAATTCATTAGTTGGTCTCTATGCAGCTCCGTTACATATGGCACTTTGACAATATAGTTCAGTCTCGATAAATATCAAAGTGTTCGCTTACGGTTTCTATAACTGCCATATTTACCAAATTTAATATTGCAACAACTTCTAATCTCCACTCTAGAAAAGGTCACTTGACATGAGTACATATTTACATGAAGTCATGAATTAAACATAGAACACTGCTATCACATACATGGTACACAGCAACCAGCCTAGTGCTGTGCCAACTGAACCAAGTGAGATAACTAGGAAATAATTCTCGAGAACAGTCACGAACCACTGAATCATGGTTTCTCGAAGAAATAGGCTTCTTGAGCACCACCGAATCATCAATTATCGAGTGCACCAGTGGCGAATCCAGGATGAAAATAAAGGATGGGCTCAATTCACTAAGCTAAATTGAGGCGAGAAGCAAAATTTTATGAAATTATGAAAGAAGTGTAGGTCTGCCACATAGTATAACCCATGAACCTGTAAAATTTCAACCAAAACTATGATCATATTTGACCCGCACAAATAAAATAAAAATTAAACACACTAACTACAATATTGTTCACTTAACTCTTGTTCTGTTTGTAGCTTACAGCTGATCATATTTTTGGACGAATTTGTATGCTATAAAATGAAGTACCTCCAATATTTTTTTTGTAATTGTTGCCACTTCAAAATGATTCTGCTAACATTATGTACTTCTGCACACATATTCAATGTGATTTTCCCCCTTAATTCTGGCGTTTTTTTATTACGGATTAACTTTTATCTTGTTCTGCTTTTACCTACCATTGTATTGTCAGACATCCTTGATATTAAAAAAAAATTATGACAAGTTTATTGGTGGGTCGCGTGCTATTGCAAACTGAGAATAGACACAGAATAGACACTACGATATGTATTGCCAGTGCTTGACCAGTAGATTTTAATTAAATGCTCACCATTAGCTATCAGGGGCAGTTGACAACGAAAATTTTGATCTATGGTTCCAGTCCTCATTGTTAGAGTTGTACTCCCTCCGTCCCAAACTACTTGTCTTAGATTTGTCTAGATAGAGATGTATCTAACACTAAAACATGTCTAGATATGTTAACAGTGCAATATCCCCATTTACCAAACTAGGGCACAACATGGCTTTTACCTCTCCAAACTCAGTGTTGTTGATATATGTTAGCCATGTAATATCCCCATTGAGCTGTTTGGGGTCCAGCTCCCTTCGCCTGGAAAGACGAAAGGGGGTCATTGGTACTACATTGTTTTAAGGCTCTGATACCATGTGGTAAATATGCAGAAATCACCTTATACAGTAGGGGGATACTACACGGGTAACATATATACAACTCAAACACTCATATACTCGGCCTATAACAGAACAGCAACCAGCTTGGAACCGCAGACAAACAACTAACCAACTGTCGACAGAACCAGCTAAGCAGCTAACTTGAAAGTAGTACAAAGCGAGCAGCAAAGATTTCATAGGACCACATCATGCACATCATTCCATTAAACACCTGACATAGGACACGTGCAGCGTTGTGATAAGCCTCATACGGATATCGTCTGTGAAGCGAGGCGGAGCGTATGGAGTTGATGGCGATGGCGTGGGAAGGGGATGTCCTGCTAGCAGAAGCATGTGCACTGGAGACAGCAAAGGGAGGAGCAGCACGTGCAGGTGGCTGGAAGGCGAGAGGAGCCTGCGGGGGCATGACGGGGATATTGAGAGGAGCCACCTAGCGCAGAGCTTCTAGAGATGCGGAAGCGGGGGCGTGACGGGGATGTCGAGGGGAGGTGTCTGGCGCAGAGCTTCTAGAGAAGCGGAGGCGGTGTCACAGAGGGGACAGCAGAAGGAACAGACCTTGGCTGCTAATGCTGTGGTTAGATAACTAGGCTGTTGGTGTAGCATGTGGAGGAGCAGGTTCGGAGGCACTACGCCAGTTTGGTAGTGGGCTAGGTCTGATCAGGAGTCTCTGGAGTGGTTATTTTTTTCTGGCTAGTTTGTCTGTTACTAATTTTTTCCTCCTTTTTACCAAAAAGAGTGGAAGCATAAAAATACACATTTCTCCATACAGTACCAAAAACAATCAACTTGAGTTGACCGGTTTGGCTTGTTTTTCTTGTTCGTATTAGGACTTTGGGCATGTATAATATCCAGCCCACTTAGCTGAACAGGATCCCTGTAAATCAGCATTCCTGTAAAAGTAACTCAGTTACACAGAGAGTAAATTTGGCAACTAGTTGCCTGTTCTCGCAAAATCTGAAAAAGAAATCATGGATACAGGTCATGCTAAAGCACTTGCACTTACAAAAAGAGCATCAAATAGTTTTACCATTTGTGACCTAGTAAAAAGTAGATAAAATTTTAGGGCTGATTATATAGCTACGAATTTGTCTTTTTCGTACAGGTCACAAGAGGTCTTATTTTTTTGTAAACCTTTGCAGGGGCACACTGCAGATGATATAGCATGGCTTGCATCCACTAATTTGTGTAGCATTATACGGAAACTCATAAAGTGGTTTTGAATAATGGGGTGTAAGTGTCAACTAGTATGACACCATCCAGTTATACTACTTGTGACTCTTTTCTATAACAAAAACTTGGTACTTAAGTGTTATGCTCAAATTAGACTCTTTAATTTAATGCATAGTTCAACCTCCAGTGTGCCACCTTGAAGAAGCACTTCTTGGACCTAGGGTTATGTATCTTGTCGTAACAATCCGAGCCAGCAGCTTTAGTCATATGAGGGTCTAGAAACGTTAGCAGTCAGTTCTAGATTTTGTACAACATGCAGTTTTTCTTTTTGTGCAATATTCTTAGGCCGCACATAGAAATGTAAACTTACAGGTGAA